AAGTACCAACCGCGGCTGCACGTGACGGAGGTGAAGGAGGGGGAAGGGGACGAGGCCTACCCCTCCGGCAACACCCAGACCTTCATCTTCCCGGAGACGCAGTTCATCGCCGTCACGGCCTACCAGAACGCCGACGTGAGTATCGGGCCCCCGCGCCTCCCTGGGCCACGGCAACCCCTCGGACGCCCGGGGGCAGCCGCTAGGGGGCGCTGTGCCAAGGAGAAGGGTAGGTCTGAGGCCGCCCATGGTGCGGTTGGGTGGGGACTGGAGTGTCATGTCAGCACCCCATGGCCCAGCTCCTGCCTCAGGGCGGGTGTCGGGGGGGGGGTTCCTAGGGCTTGAGGGGGGGCAGTTGGGGAAGCACTAGGAAGATGGGGGCTGCCCTGCATCCCTGCTTCTTCCCCCCGACTCTCCCTCCGCCCCCTCCGCAACCCCGTGCCGCCCCACACACGCAGTGTGACCGTGTGCCCAGACTCTGTTCTGTGTTGTCCTAGATCACTCAGCTGAAAATCGATCACAACCCCTTTGCCAAGGGCTTCCGGGACAACTTCGACTCGTGAGTATCCCCCCCCCACTGGCTGTCTCCCCATCGCCCCGCGGGGCCGGCCGGGCCAGGGGGAGGGTCTGCCTTGATGCACCCTCGTCATCGGGTCACTGCCAGGCGTCTCCGAGGCCCCCGTTCGCCTGGCACCCCCCCAGTTCTCAGAGGCCGGCCACTGAGGCAAACATTGGGGCTGCAGAGCTGCGGCGGGGATGGGAGAGACGCCTCTCCCCCGGAGCTGCAGAGGGGAGAGGGGTGTGTGTGTGTGTGTGTGTGGGTGTGTGTGGGTGTGTGTGGGTGTGTGTGCGCGCTCCTCACACACACACACACACACACACACACACACACACACACTTGTGGTGGTGGTGTTCCTTCTTGGTACTTCCTGTAATGCACATACACTCGCTGTCATTTTATTCTTTCAAAGTGCTACTTGAGTGTTTTATTTCTTTTAATTCTTTAATTCTAAAATGCCTCACCTGTCCTGGCTGGAGTCATTATCCCTCGGGGGGAACTTTTTAAACAGAGATCTTCTATCTCGGTTTTTTTGTTTCTACGGCTGGCGCACATCCCCGCAGTACCTCGATAGTGGTGCACGTGACAAAATGTATTCCACGCGTGGGTGGAAAAAAGGAGAGGGTCTTGTCGCTCACCTGCCGGGGCCTGGGGCCTCTGCTGAGTTTGCCAGCACGGCGGGAGGGATGGCGACGGGCAGGGACGCCCAGCCAGGAGTGGGGCCGAGACCCCCACAAACTCAACTCAGTTACCAGAGCGCAGCTGAGGCCAGCCAGGGCCGGAGACCAACCTGAGGCACCAGGCGCCACCCCCCCCCACCAGCCGTCCAGCTCCAACCCCGGTACCGCAGGGCACCCTCTCCCCCCCTGCCTGACCCCCCCCCTTTGTGTTTGTCCCCCCCCAGGATGTACACGACAGCAGAGGGCGACCGCGTGACCCCGTCCCCGCCCGACGCCACCAGCTGCCAGCAGCTCCTGCCCGGCAGCCGCTTCCCGTCCTTCCTGCACGAGCAGTACCCGCTGCCCCAGAGCCGCTACTACAACGGGGAACCGCTGCAGCACAAGGAGCACCCCCGCTGGTACTTCGCCTCCCAGCAGCCCCCCGCCGCCCCCCTGGATTACGGCGCCTACGAGGGCAGCTACGGCGGGAACAAGTACATGCCCTTCGGCGTGAAGGCCTTCCCCCTGCCGGCCTCGCCCCACGCCACCCTGCCCTACTACCAGGAGCCCCACCCCTTCGGCTCGCCGCCCGCCGCCTGGCAGCCGCCCGCCAAACCCAGCCCCGGGGCGCTGGGCTGGTTCCGGCCCGTGCGGGACATCCGGCCCCTGCCCGCCGGCGAGGAGAAGGGGAAGGACGCGGAGGGCTGGGCCGAGCCGGCCTCGGTCAAGTCGGTGGACTCCTCGGACTCGGGGCTCTTCGAGGCGGAGTGCAAGCGGCGCAGGGTGTCGCCCTACGCCTCCAGCGCCGAGAGCTCGCCCCCCGCCCGCAACGGGGACCTGTACGACAAGGA